CCTCACTACGACCTCCTCTTTGGTAGTTGTAGATAGTGATAAGATATCACCAAGCCTCCTTTACTCCAGGCTAAATGCCCCCAGCTCCCTCAAGCACTCCCCACAGGATTTGTGGTCTGAACCTTTCACCAGCTTTGTGCTCCTCTTTGGATGCCCCCTAGCACCCCAATTCCTTTCTTGTATTGAGGGTCTCTTGAGCACAGTACTCGAGGTGTGGCACTTGTGTCACCAACAAAAGCCTCACGGCTGGCTCAGGAGACTTACAGATGTGGGATGTGGTCTGAAACATCTGCAAAAGTTGTCTCTTCTGTCTTCTCAGGGAAAGCTGTGCCTGCTTGGTTACAACACCTTTCATGAAATAAAACTGAAAGCCCAAGCAATTCTGCACAAAGCTTTCACCAGTGCAGCTGGCTCCAGTGAGGGGGAGAGCAGCAGGAAAAGTAAATTACCCTCCTGGAATTCATTCTGTCCTTGCCAGATGCTTAAAGTGCAGCTTTTCTGTCTGGGTATTTTCATAAGCAATGAGGTTGCAGACATAGCATTTTTCATCATATTTCCCCTGCTTTGGAGTACATGACATGCACTGTCTTTATGGATGAATAAAAGGTCATGACTGGCCAGCTGGTAACACAAAATACATTTTTACTGTAACGGCAAGGTATTCTAGCTTTGTTTCATAAAATTGCACTGACTGTGTATTTACATAAACCCTACATCTGTTTAGTTAAGTTAAGCCAGAGGGTGATGATCTTTGTCTTTACAAAAGAGCTGATTTAATTTTATTGAACAAAGCTTTCTATTTAAAAGATCAAAGTCATTGCAGCCCCCTGCAGCAACAACTTAAAAGTTTCTTCAACTAGTCAAATTAATGAAATATGGTAACTGGAACTGAACAAGCAGGAAAAAGAAAAAAAGGAAAATAAAAATAAAAACTCCTTGGGGGCTTTGTTTATCATGAACTTGGAGAGAGACATTTCTCCTTTCATCAAAGTCCCATTGAGTGTCCTGACTCTCCTTCCTCTGAGAACACAGGAATTGATAGCAGAAGCAGCATGCACAGTTTTAGACAAATTTTTAGAAGCTGGTAATGCTGTGGGGAAAAGGCACAGTACAGTGAAGAAAATCTAGCAAAGAACTGGCCTTTCTAGCTTCCATGTGTGTCTTGGGTTGAAAAGACAGGAGCCTGTGAAGGAAGGCAAAAGCCTCCTGTGAAATGGAGAAGGTAAACCCCCTCCCTCCGAATTATCACAACTTCAGAATTAAAAAAGGCTCTCAGGCAAAGATATGGGAAACGGGAATAACAGTTCTTTACTGGAAGGAAAAAAAACTAAATAACAATGTAATTTAACACAAGCAAAACAACCACTGGCAGAGTGAGAAAAACCTGGCACCCTGAGAAGTCAGGGTGCTGATAGCAGTCCAGCCAAATGGTGGCTGCTCCTCCTGGAGTGGCGATCTGCAGAAGGGTGTAGATCCCTTCCGAAAATGCGGCGAAGGAGCAGCTGGGCCTCGGTTCCTGATTCCTCTCGGAAATCCAGCGAAGAAGCCTGTCTGTGGTCTCAGAAGTGCTTGTTTTATGGTGGCAGGGATGCTTGGCTCCTCCCTCTGGGTGGAGCATCTCCCAATGGGATGATGTAACTAATCTTACCAGCCACAGTAAGCAATTCAATAGCCCATTAGCAGGCCATTGTCTTCCTGGCAGTGTCATTGTTCTTGAAAGAGATAAGAAAAAACTGCCTAACCCCCAACAGATGGCAAAATAGAATACATGCTTATTTTACAAGCCAGGACAATGTGCTAGTTCCAGGTGCTAGTGAAGTTCTACTTGATAAAATGTCAGTTTATATATAAAATTGCTTGGTAACTCCACAGAAAATAATGGTAAAATCATGAGTTTGAAAATGTAGCTGGAGATTGAGAGAGCCCGCCTGTCACCTCCCAGCATCTGACTTTGGGGAAATTGTCTTGCAAACTTGTTTTTGGGAGGGGAATGGCTAAACACCTGCCTTACATTTCACTCCTGAAGTTTGGTATTTGCTTGCAAGCAGCTTCCTCATCTCCAAGACTGACAGGAGCACTCCCTACTGATACACTGGGTGAGCCCATGGCTACACCTCATGCTATAGCAGGATGGGGTCAAACACGCACCAAAATTCACTCTTTGTGCCTGTCCATAGGTTATATCTGGCAGGCAGCCAGGAACATGGACTAAAAGGAACTGCAGCATGTTCCAACTTAGCCCTCAATCAGGACATCGATGAAACTAACCTCAAAGTCTGTTTTGATTGGAAGGAAACCTTTCCCAGAGATCTGTGCTGCTTCTACATGTCTTCTGCACAGTACATCTACATTAGTACTTCAGCTTGGATCAGGAGAGTGCTGTGACAGCTTTCCTCCTGACCACCCCTCCTTACCATGCTTTGCTTCATGTGCTGAAACAGTCCTGGCATCTATCAACTGGACTCCATCCAAACAAAGCTACACAAAAAATCTGGTGTAGGAGTGCACTTACTGTACTACAGCTGCAAACATGAGGCCAGTCAATGTGACCAGATTAGAGCTGGTCTAAAATAAATCTCTGAAATACACAGAGGGCACACACTGGGTCCCCTGTGCCAGCTCCTCTGTGCTACAGATCATCCCCACTTGTTCCAGGCCACCTGCTAATGTAGACTCAACCCAAAGAGGCTGCACTGCTGCTTTCTGACCCTGTCACTATTTAAATGGGTGAATAGTGCCATTTTAGGCACCATATGGTATCCCTGCAGGCCTCCAGCTGCCACTCTGCAGATCAACAGCTCAACCAAATGTCTTGTGTCATATCTGGCAGCCCCATACAGACATCTCAGATACCTTAGGGAGACTAACTGCTGTGGATGTCTATGTTTAGACAACTGAATACCATTTTATTTTAGCATCTATTCCCCTCTAGACCAAAAAATTGAAAAAAATGAGATTAAAAATGCGAATGGAAATTCTTGAAATACTATGGTGTGTTTTATGAAATAAAATACACAATATAGAATAAATAAAATAGTAAAAAATTAATTTCCTGAAAAAAAATATTAAAACTCTTTTAAAAATAATCTAAAAAGTATACAAAGCTTAATCTGACAACAACAGAAATCTTGTTTTGTCCTTCAAGAAACAGCTGAATTTTACAAATTGCATTTATTATTTAGTAAGGGCTGAATTCACTGGCTTTAACAGAATAATTGCAAAGCTTGAGTTTCAGTTTCTGTTTGTGTAATTTACTGGCCTAATTCCCCAGATGCTTTGAGGACTGTAGCATCAGAGTCATTGCTAGTAAATCAATACATTATTGAATTACTAATTTTGCTGGGATAGTAATAAATGAAATAGGCTTTGGCATGTTTTCTGCCCTGAGGGTGAGAGAGCAGAGAGCAGCCCTTCTCTGTTACTAGCAAACTCCTGGTGTCCAGCATGGCTGCAGGCGAGCAGGGATGCTCTCTGGGCTGACCACACTGAGGACTCCCTGGCAGAGGCTGGTGGCCATGGGCCAGCACTGTGCCATGGTTTAACCTCCCTTACACAGCGAGCACCCTCCAAAGCTGCAGAAAAACATTTACACGCCAAGGAACCGACTTCTGAATCTGCATGGAAATACTTGGAGATTACAGGTATTTCAAACACTTAAACATTAAAATCCTGACCTCTTGTGGCCATCAAACTGTCCAGCAAAAGCTTCTGTCAGTTTCTAACCCAGGTGATGTTCTTGCTGGGTGTGGGATGGCCATTTGTGTATTCCTGCTCCCAGACCTGCCTGTGTGCCAGGAGTCGTTGACAAACCTCCCATTTGAACATCTCTGTGGGTCCAGAGGAGGCCACAAATGAGATCAGAGGGCTGGAGCACCTCTCCTACAAAGGCAGGCTGAGAGAGCTGGGGCTGTTCATCCTGGAGAAGTGAATGCTTTGGGGAGACCTTAAAACAGCCTCCCAGTACATAAAGGGTCTTATAAACAAGAGGGAGAGTGACTTTTCACATAGGCAGATAGTGACATGACAAGGTAAACAGTTTTAACCTAAAAGAGAGGAGATTTAGATTAGATAATTGGAATAAATTCTTTACTGCAAGAATGTTGAGGCACTGAAAGAGGATGCCCAGAGAAGTTGAGAATGCCTCATCCCTGGATGTGTTCAAGTCCAGATTTAATGGGCCCCTGAGAAACCTGATCTAGTGGGTGATATCCCAGCCCACAGAGGGGGTTTGGAAATAGATGATCCCTATTCTGTGATTTGTCCTAAAAGTAAATGAAGTGCAGTCTTTTTGGACACTGTGGAAAAAAAATCTGGCAGAAATGGCACAGAAATGGGAAGTATGGGTCTGCACATTAACATCCTGCATGTGGCACAAAGCTATTTGCAGACCTTTAATTCTAACAAAGATTTGAGAAAGGGAATGTTTGTTTTGTCTGTCTTGCTTTGCTGTTCTCCTAGTCTGCATCAGTAGGTAGCTTTGGGCTGTAGAATAATTAAGACTACGAATATATTCTGCATGTGTGTAATTGATAATGTTCGATGTCAATTTTTGCAGGTATATATAATCAGCACCATTTCAAACATGAACCTATACTTCTAAGAACCCAGCATCAAAACCCAGAAAGTCTGGCTTCATGTGCAAGTCTGCATAAGGAGAAAGGACAAGTGGAGTTTCTCATGCCACGTGATCTTTTACCTGGACAAGCTAAGGCTACACAGTATTTAGGACAGGCACATATCTACACCCTGATTATTCATATGCAGTAGTGTCTTCTGTATAAGAATTTCCTCTATCCAGGACTAAGTACCTGAATGCTTTATAATTTCTAAAATAATTGGAGCATCTACAATTATGCATTTTCAGTCTGCATGCATGGCAAATCCAAAGGCTGCTGAAATACAAATAATATACGAAACAAAACAGCATCTATTACTAGAATTTATAAATTTATAGAATGTATAATTTATACAACATATTAATAACAGACTCAAAACCATTAAACAGTGCATGAATAAAATGTATTTTTAGAAGTTTTTCTTTCTATCACTTTGCATATACAGACTGGACATAGGAACTACAGTACGGAGTATATTTTTATTTAGAAGACATATTAATTGATAATTGCACTTGCTTATAACAGGAAAGTGAGTAAAAGTGCTTTAAATCAAATTTACATGTTAAGAGTTTTTTTTTTCCAGGAACTCCAGCTTTATTTCTGACCTCACAATGGTTTATCCATATGTTTAGTTTTACACTTAGGAGTAACAATGGTTAAACTAATGTACATAAAAATAAGCTTTTGAAGACCTGAAGTCTTGATGTAGCCTGTATTCACATTCAACCTCTTCAAACACCCACACAAGAAAGAAAAGATGAACTGAAAAGGTGCAATCATTCCCATTGCTCAGAATCTCTGCGGTTTTTCATTTCACATTCTCTCAAAAGAATACTAATTTTCATTAGCAAATATTAATAGGATAAAGAAAAAGTTTTGTAAAAAATATTTTAGTGATCATTTATAAGTTTTTAATTTTGGGTTGTGCTCAGATCTCTGTTACTCATTTGCTGCCATTGCCTGGTTTCCCTCCGAAAATAATTGATATTTCATTTGAGTATGCAAACAGGCTTGGACTTTATTACTTAGAGCCCTTGGTGTTTACTGGCACTCATTTAAAACATGTTTTTTTTACAGGATGCCCATCACAGTAACAGCTGCTCATCCTCTATTCCAAAAAAAACCCCAACACTGGGCACTGGATTTTCTGTTCCTAAATGTAATAATCACTTTATGGTTTTAGTGCTGATGATATTTCAGTCTCTCCTGGGGCATCTAATGCTCCTGATGCAGTGCAGAAAATTTTGGTACACAATGGATTGGGGAATAGGCTCTCCTGGTGATGAAGATGCAACATGATAGCATCTCAAAACATCCAGGTGTCAGAAGGCACTCTGAGGCACTTCATGCATGACTGTAGTATGTTTGTTTCTTTACAAAGAATGCTGAATGACGTGAGTAGCATTTTGCCTTATTCAGAAAAGTAGAGTAGCAACCACAAAACAGATAACCTGCACAGATTACTGTTGACAGAATAAAACCGTATTCAGTATTTCAGTGAGACAAAACACATCACTTTACATTTTCAGAGTACCAAAACAGTGGGGCAATAAAAACATCTTTTAAGTGCTAGTACACAAAAGTTGCTTTCAAAAAGCACAGTGTTTCTTAATTAGTTGCAGAACAGTCTTGAGAACCTCTTCCTTGGAGGGGCTGGCATCAACCTCTTGGCATGCAGGATTCACCATCCTTCTGTATGACTCTTCAACTCTAAAAACAAAACAAGAGAAATTAAACTTCAAAATGCAGGGATATGACATGAAATTAGTCACCAGTCTCAGAAGACAGCGCTCGCACTGCAGAGACAGAGGATAGAAAATCTAATATGAGGCTCAGAATGAAATCTCCTGCAAAGAAAAATAAACCATTAGTAACTATTAGAATGTAAATCTCAAACCATGTCGTTTCCTTGACATTGATTCTCAGAACTCCAGCCATATTAACAAGGCATGGCATAAAGCATTTCTTTCTTCACAGATTATCACTGGATACAGTTTTGTATAGCAATAGAGTGGACAGTCTGCTTCTAGCACTTGAATTAATTTTTTCAGTTTCTGCTAAGGCATCTCTGAACTATAGGGCATCGCATTGTGTAGTTGTGCTCATTGACTGATCTCAGCTTTGACTCACTAGATTACAGAGTCGACATATCATTCAACCCCTTCCTCTGATCAGCTAACCAGATGAATAACAGGATAAAATACAGGATGAAAACCTCCTCACTTAGGCTATAAGCATAATGCAGAACCCTCCCACATTTCATCTTTGAGGGTGTGAATGAGGATGTGAATATTATTGTCTATGTTCCCATAATGCCATTCAGGACACAATCACAGAACAAATCAAGGGAGATTCTGGATGTTCTCATATTCAGATTGACATAATCAACAGGGAGAAATAACAAAAAACTTTCCAACACAAATATGCAGAAACAGGATTAAAATGCAAAAGATGCTTAAATGGCAGTATGTTCCCTAGCTAACTCATCCCTCTGCAGGTCCCACTATACGAGCTGTGTGTTCACACAGAGTTTCTGTCAAAATTAAGCAACCACAGAATCATAGAATGTTAAGGGGATGGAATGAACTTTAAAGATCATCTAGTCCCAATCCCTGTACCATGGGCAGGGATACTTCCCACCAGACCAGGCTGCTTAAGGCCTTACCCACCTGACTTTGAACACTGCCAGAGTTGGGGCATTAACATCATCTCTGGGAAACCTGTTTCAGTATCTCACCACTCTCACAGTTAAAAATTTCTTCCTAATAGCTAACCTAAATTTTCCCTCTTTCCATCTGTATCCATTACTCCTTGTTCTACCTCTACAGCTCCTGATGAAGAGTCCCTCTCTGACTTCCCTGTAGGCACCTTCAGATACTGGAAAGTTGCTATGAGGTGTCCACTCAACCTTCTCTTTCCCAGGCTGGACAGCACCCCCTTGCTCAGTCTGTCTTTGTAGAGGAGGTGCTCCAGTTCTCTTATCAACTTTGTGATCCTCCTCTGCACTTGTTCCAATAGTTCCATGTCCTTCTTAACCCTCAGATACTGGAAAGTTGCTATGAGATGTCCACTCAACCTTCTCTTTCTCAGTCTGTCTTTGTAGATGAGGTGCTCCAGTTCTCTTATCAACTTTGTGATCCTCCTCTGTGCTTGCTCCAATAGTTCCATGTCCTTCTTCTGTTAGGGACACCAAAACTGGACTCAGCACTCCAGGTGGGGTCTCACAAGAGCAACATATAGGAGGAGAATCCTCTCCTTCAACCTGCTGGCCATGGTGCACAGATGCAGCCCAGGGCACCGTTGGCATTCTGGGCTGTGAGTGCACATTGCCAGTTCATGATGAGTTTTTCATCAACCATCGCCCTCAAGTCTTTCTCTGCAGGGCACTCTCAATCACTTCTCCATCCAACCTGTAGATGTACTCAGGATTGCCACGACCCAGGTGTAGGACACTGTACTTCCCCTTGTTGAATTTCATGAGGTTTCTCAGGCCTGTCCAGGTTCCTGTGAACGTCATCCCTTCCCTCCAGTATGTCCACTGCACCACACAGCTTGGTCTTGTCAGCAAATCTGTTGAGGGTGCACTCACTTCCACTGTCCTTGTCACTAGAAAGATGCTGAATAGTATCAGCCCCAGTATCGACCCCAGGGGACACCACTTGTCATTGGCTCCCACGTGGACAGTAAGCCATTGACCACAACTCTTTGTGTGCTGCCATCCAGCCAATTCTTTGTTCACTGAATGGTCCATCGATCAAATCCATGTCTCTCCCATATGAAGATGAGGATGTCATGTGGGACACTGTCAAACACTTTCCAGAAGTTCAGGCAGATGTCATCAGTTGCTCTGCCCCATTCAGGAATGTTGAATTTGTCAGGCAAAATCTCCCCTTTGTAAAGCCACTTTGGCTTTACAAATTATAGCCACTTTTGAGCTTCCACCTTAGACAAATGATCTAATCAATACATTTGGCAGAGCCTAGATAGCAATTCAGCACACCCTGAAGCAGGATACCTAGGGTGCCATTCAGTTGCTTAAATTAATGTACCTAGTACTGCTTGAAATTCTCTGGACTATCTCATTTAGCTTCCAGTTCCTAGCCTGGAAAGTGTGCACAGGTTCTGCATCACATCTCATATCAAAAGGCTTTAGATACTTAAGTTTAGATCACTGAGCTCCAAACAAGTGGTGAGATGAATCATTTTGAAGGCTCCATTGAATGTATTGACTATGCTGGTACCTGAAACACTTTCTACAGCTAAAGACATCTACAACAGGATGTTTAAATTTTATTCTCTCTCTTAATCTGGAGCTCAATTCCAGAATTTCCTGGGGAATCGCTGTGTTTCAACTTCTTTCCTCCCAGTTTTGGAACTCATAAGTCCATCTCCTTCATGACTTCACAAAGAAAAATGTGAAAATAAAAGCAGCAAAGCAAAATATAAGTATTTTAACTCAAAGCTCCTTTACAATTAAATTATACATCTGCATCTTTCAAACACTTTCAGTTAGAAGTGAGCGAATTTACCTTCCCTGACAGCCACGCATTCTTTCCAAAAAAACACCAAAACCAAACAAAAGCTTATACGAAGGAAATTCTTGTGGAAATTCTTGTCCCAATAATGTGAGAGGCACATTTGTTATTGATCCCACAGGATCCAAGACTGCCTCCAGCCTCTTATTCCCCATTCAAGGAATTACCTTTGGCGAAACATGCTGTTAGCTTCCAGCTCAGCTTCCTCCTTTGTTTTCTCCAGCCCCCGATTCTGAAGCCTCCGGACTCGTTCTTCAGGGTCAACAGTCAGGAGAAGAACAAGATCAGGTTTAAGCAGATCATCAGGCCACTGATACACCTCATCTTGAGCTGGTGGAAGATCCTGGACTTTCCCACTTGTTTCGGTGGCAATTGCGTAGGCAGCTGTGCTGTGCCAGTATCTGTCAGGAAAAAACAAAGTGGAGGGAAAGAAATTTAAAAGAGAACATTAATTCTTCAGTAATATAGGAGACAGCTGGAATTATAACGACAAGTCAATAATGATGAGATAGGTGACACCATGGCTTTGAAGGGAAATCCAAATAACAGCTCTGTGCTATCCATTATTTCTTAACATGACAACAGTCAGTGCGCTATTCAGAGTAAATGTGAACCATTAATTAAAACACTATGTAGAGACTGTTTCAGACACTCCTATCGAAAGAAAGTATCCTCATATATTGAGATGGATCAAAGAAGAGTTACAAGATTTCTCAAAATCCTTTACTTTGAGTCCCCTTTTTTGTGGTTCCCATCCTACTTAATGCAATAGATTTAGTAGAGAACATGCAGTCTCCACAAACATGTGAATCCACACAGGCATTACTAATGTTACTAATTTCACTTGCATTTAACATTCTCCCCACTACAAGGCACTATGTTTGATAGATTTCAGTGGATTTGGGGCTGGCTCAAAATAGCACTCACATGCAAATAATGTATGTGTGCATGTGTGTCTGTGTGTGTTGCAGCGGGAGGTTACAGTACACCTACTGAAATAAGCAGAGGGTTCAAAGTACATCCTGACATTTTTATCAGCAGTAATATCATAATCTGCCTACACAGTTAGTGAAAACCAGAAATAACAAACAAACCCAATAAAGTGGGAAGTATATATCTGTGTTTAAATTCACAAAGAGTAAGTCTACCTAAAACTCAGTCATTCCAATCTACCCATATCTGAGACACTTCTTAGAGACAGCCATGACCAGCAGCCCACAGTCTCCTCTGGTTTGTCACAAAACACTGGTTTAGCTCAGGATGCACAATCTGTGCCTTCACTATTCCTAAATGAAGATGTAACAATTTTTATGTGTCCTAAAGCTAGTTATGAGTATTAGACTGATTTAAGTTCCCTATTTTATTATAAGTGTTACTATTTAAAATATATAATATTTATCTGACTTATGGCTTTGAAGGGAAATCCAAATAACAGTTCTGTGCTATCCATTATTTCTTAACATGATAATAGTCAGTGCACTGTTCAGAGTAAATGTGAACTATTAATTAAAACACTATGTAGAGACTGGTTCAGACACTCCTATCGAAAGAAAGTATCCTCATATATTGAGATGGATCAAAGAAGAGTTACAAGATTTCTCAAAATCCTTTACTTTGAGTCCCCTTTTTTGTGGTTCCCATCCTACTTAATGCAATAGATTTAGTAGAGAACATGCAGTCTCCACAAACATGTGAATCCACACAGGCATTACTAATGTTACTAATTTCACTTGCATTTAACATTCTCCCCACTACAAGGCACTATGTTTGATAGATTTCAGTGGATTTGGGGCTGGCTCAAAATAGCACTCACATGCAAATAATGTATGTGTGCATATGTGTCTGTGTGTGTTGCAGCAGGAGGTTACAGTACACCTACTGAAATAAGCAGAGGGTTCAAAGTACATCCTGACATTTTTATCAGCAGTAATATCATAATCTGCCTACACAGTTAGTGAAAACCAGAAATAACAAACAAACCCAATAAAGTGGGAAGTATATATCTGTGTTTAAATTCACAAAGAGTAAGTCTACCTAAAACTCAGTCATTCCAATCTACCCATATCTGAGACACTTCTTAGAGACAGCCATGACCAGCAGCCCACAGTCTCCTCTGGTTTGTCACAAAACACTGGTTTAGCTCAGGATGCACAATCTGTGCCTTCACTATTCCTAACTGAAGATGTAACAATTTTTATGTGTCCTAAAGCTAGTTATGAGTATTAGACTGATTTAAGTTCCCTATTTTATTATAAGTGTTACTATTTAAAATATATAATATTTATCTGACTTTCTGCAGACTCTTCCAAAAAACCCTAAACAAACTACAAAACCCCCAAAACAAAACCCCCGAAGAAACACAGAGATGATCACTGACTGCTTGCAATAAGAGGGCTTCTTAAATACACAAACCTGTCTATGATCACAGGTGCCTGAGTGGATGCTTTCGCTATCTCGGAAGCCAGAATGTAGTTGCCTGCAGCATAAAATGCTCTTTTAACGGGTGTTGGCTCATCATCAAACACAGTCCTCCACTGGCTGATGCAGGCTGGTGGGGACCGCAGCAGAATGCCATTCAGGGTGTCCTTAACAGCCTGGGTCACTGTGGTTTTGCCTGCATTTCATTTACAGAAGGAAATATTCATTATATTATTTACCAGATACACCTGAGTTTTAAAAACTGAAAAACGCTCCTTTCTGTTCATGTGGAGTACAGGTTCTGATATCTGAATATGTAACCTGAGCATCTTGTCATAAGCTTTCCAGTAGAAAATGATTCTGAGTCTGGTTGCAGGAATTATTACTCTTCTTCCTGCTCTCTAAGCATTCCAGCCCTTCCTTTAGCCAGCTTTCAGTTTTCACTCCCTTAAATGCATTAGGTGCATGGCAATTCCTCTATATCTATTAATTTATAATATTGTTCACAGTTGCAATTTATGTGAATGTAGCCATGCTTGTCATCCAGTTCCTTCTTTTTATGAGGATTTTCAGGTCTTTTTAACTGACAAGTCAGAAAACAAAGTTAGTCAGAAGCAAGTAATATTTCTCTTAGACGAACTGCTGGCTGTTCCCCAGACTAGGGGAAACTACCACTAGTTTAGTTCATTTATTTGAAAACTTTCCATTTAAAGTATGTTTAATCATCTGTACAAGAAATTTAATTTTCAGTACTCCACTCTGTATTCTTTCATTTGCATAGGTAAGGAGTTAAACTACTGAATGTAAATTAGCATACACTAACCTTTTACAAGTAAGAGAAGACAGATTGGCATTTGTAATTATTAATTCCATATCTGTCACAGGTTTCCAAAATTTTTAAAATTTCATTTTAAAGCCTTATACCTAATTAAAAAAAAAAAAAAACCAAAAAAAAAAAACCCAAAAAAAAACAAACCAAAAAACATAGTAGTGGCTCCTTTCAACAGTTTCTCATCTGTGGTTCTTCAACCACACGTTGCTCTTACCGGTGGCATCCAGCCCCTCAAAAACTATGACGGGAAAACCTCCCTTCTTTTGGTGCTCTGGGCATTTCTCCAGCAGGTCAAGCACTGCTTCAGCCTCTGGGATCCGTTCTGCACACTGCAAGGAGAGATCACAGAATGTGCTGGGTCGGAAGTGACTTATAAAGACCATCTAGTCCAGCCCCCAGGCAGTGCACTGGACCACCCTAAACTAGATCAGGTCTCTTAGAGCCCTGTCCCACCTGACCTGGAGAGTTTCAAGAGACGGAACATCCATCACCTCTCTGGGCAACCTATGCCGGTGTTTCACCACCCTCCAGACGTAAAAAACTTCTTCCTTACATCTGGTCAGACCCTGCCCTCCCTTCGTTTGAAGCGATTACCCCTCGTTCCCCCGGCACCCGCCCGCCCCAGGGCGCTGCAGAGCCGAACGTGGGCTCCGCGCCCGCGGTGCTGACCTGGCGCAGGCGCTGGCGGAGGGCGCTGGCGGAGGGCGGCAGGGCGCGGGCCACGGGCCGGGGGCCCGGTGAGCCCGGGGCGCAGCGCCCCAGCATCGCCGGGAGCCGAGAGTCGGGAGCAGCGAGCCGGGAGCCGGGAGCAGCGAGCCGGGCCAGCGGCAGAACGGAGGGAGCGGGCGGAGGCGGAGGAGGAGCCAGCGGGAAACGAAACTGGCCCGGCCGGCCGGGAAAGCTCCGGTCTGCGGAGACCAGCGCGGAGCAAGGGGCAGCTCCTCGGAACGCCCTTCTGCCTCCCCCGCCCCGCGTCGCGGGCACCGGGTTGCGCGGGTTCGGTCCCGCGGGGTCTGTGCGCGGACGGGCGCCAGCAGTCACGGGATGGAAGGTCCCAGCCTCGGGATCCAGCCTGCCCACCCGCCAGCAACGAAGGGTGACATTCCCACGGGCTCTCGTGGTTGAATCCTGGCGATCTTCTAAAAAAAAAATTAAAAAAATAAGAAAATTAGATGTGCAAATATGCTCCGCCGATTAGGACTGGCCCAAAATGACAAAGTCTTAACCCAAGCTGAACTACTTTTTTGAGTTGCAGTGCCCAAGCAGCACTGCGCTGTCAGGTATGTCAGTAACTTGACCCCATTATTTCGTAATTCAGTACCTTGATAACAAGACCAACAGACACAAATAATTTTGAGAGTAAACTGGACTTTTAGAAGCCTGTTTTCATTTTCCAAGCAATTTTGCAACGGCCAATTTCAGCTTTCATCAGCTCAGATGTAGGAACCAGGAACACTGCAAATAGCACAGACTTAGTCGCGTGACAGCTGCTATGAGTAACATTGCCTAAAATGTAATTTTTGAGTTTTCAGAAGATGTAACTTCAAGAAGATGTTGGAGAGCCTGCACCTCTGTAGAAAACTTCTATGCTTTTTCAATAGTTGGAGAATGGCCACTTAGAGATATCTAAAGTTAAACTTCTGACTTTTTTTTTTTTAACTAATAGACTCTACAAGAAATTCCTTGGAAACATGTCTTTCTCTGGTCATCTCCTTCATCTGCACAAATACCTTTTACTTAGTGTAACTGCAGGGAGAGGGGAGCAGCTGGTAGGCAGTACCAATTGCAAATCATCTGTACTAGTTGGCAACTGCCCATCCCAAAGAAGCTGATGGAAGTGAGGGCCAGAGCCACAACTGGTAACATAGCCTTGGAAGCTCTTCAATACAGTCCCAGCATCATGTGTCAAAATTAATTTGGTTCTTTTAAGACTGTTTCGTACCTGAGAACTCCAGCACCATTCCACATCACTCAAACACATGGCTGTGCCATCTGGGTGTGGATACCAGAAGACAGGGTATAACATGGTTCATTATACAGGAAGTCAATAGATATTTTTAAGACCATAATAATATGCACTGATTAAGAGTAGAGGCTCTTCTCAGCCAATATTTTGTCTGGCAGAATGACATGCTGTATGTGCCTGTCTTGTCCATGGTCCCTTCTCCTAGTCCTTCTGCTCCTCCAGCCTCCACACTGAATTGGGAATGTTAAACAGTACATCCTCATCTTTCAGGACCCGTTATGGACCCTTGGAGTTGGCTAAATGTGATACAGACTACCTCCACAGACCCCTGTGGTCCCAATTCCAGCAATGCTACTGTTGTATAAAAATTTCATAAGTTTTAAACTCGCATCCTTATTTTAACAAATGTCCCTTCTAATAATATTACTGATTTTGGTGAATAACAGTTCAACATTCAGTTTATTTATTACCTACAGGATTTTTTTAAAGATCACTCAGATTTCCCCTTCAGTTTTTTTCATGTCAGAAATGACAGCCTCCATCCCTGGTAAGACAGCTGCTTCATCCCCTTGAACAGTTAGAAACAAGGATAACTTCTTTAACTGTAAGGTCCTGCCAGGATGTGGAGGTCTGAACCAATCAGGGGTTGGTTACACTTACCAAAGACTCACAGACCAGCAGAGTAATGCAATCTACTTTGTTTCTGGGTGATACTAAGCTTTAAGTTGACTTTTTTCTCTGCTGCCTCCCACAGAGCCTTTGATTTCAGAGGAGAAGCAACAGTGACTAAAATGTCCTTCCTGAGCACAAGTGCCACTGCTGAGCTCAGCATCAGGTACACAAGGTTTCGATGACTGTTTTGGATTTGCACTGCCTCACCTTTATCTATACTGAAACCTACCTGCCACTTTTCTGTTCATTTGTTTGCTTGAGGTCCAATTGACTTGCAGCCAAGTTTCGTTTCAAAAGCACTTGTAAAGCTGGCTATTTCTCTCACTGACCTATCAGCTTCTTTCTCTTCTGTTTTGGTGGGGTTTTTTTTAGTGTTTTGTTTGTTTGTTTGTTTGTTGTTGTTGTTATTTTTTTTTTCTCCAATGCTACTGTTGTCTTTCCTCTCTCTAGTGAACAAATAGAAAGCACTTTCATTTTCTGTTTTCCCTTTTCCCATCTCACTGCCTTGATATAACCTTCTTGCAACCATTCCTGAACCAAGCTGGTGGTGATTTCTTAATTTATAATATGCTTATAAGATCATTCATAATAGGCATGCCTATTCTCCTGCCTAATTACTTTAAAGTATCCTCTTTCAGGATTCAAGTAAAAATACAGGAAAAGAGAGTTGTCTTTTTATGCCCAAGATGTTTTGTTGTATTTAAAATCAGTGGAGACAGTATGACTTTTTCAGCCTCTTTTCAAGGACCTTTACAACTTTGTCCTCTGTATATTATGAAGAAATGTTGAAGAACAAATATGCTAATTATGTACAAAACATTGTTCAGGAGCATTTTTACATCCTAGAGTGTCCACTGCTTACATAAAGCTATAGGGGTAAAAATACAGAGGTAACAAGAGGCCATATGTATATTCAAAAATTTTTGATCCACACAAAGTGAAAAAAGAGAAAAACAACCAAAACCAAACCATGAAAATTGATTAGCCTTTAATCTAAAAATATAGCTAAGTGTACAGTCCTGTAAATAGCTGCCTGATACACAGGCAGGAAAAACTTAAATCAAAGGCCCATAAAATGTGTAGGTACATAGAATATATGCAAATAAAACTGCTCTTTTAATGCAGAATAAACTTTAAAGAATACTAATTGGAATTCTTTCCCTCCAGGAAAGAAAAAGATTTGGAGATAAGACCATAAGAATATACAAGTCAGTATAGTGTCAGGACAAGAGAGATTCCTCTTCTGCCCATGACTGTGGCCACTGCCAGATGTTTGAGGAAGGCCATGGAAATGATGCAGAAGGATCCTTCTCTCAACATACTTTTGTCAAGAAACTATCCTTGAGGTCCCTTCCAACCTGGTATTCTATCATTCTGAAAGTCTATGATCTTTTCCTACATCATATAAGCAATCTTTTTAATACATCCTGAATGGGAAATCACATATACATTATTAAGGGCCCATAGTGGACTTCTTTCAAATGTGTCTAATCTGTATGTATATTCATATTGTGTGTTTCATACGTCTTTCCTAACTTAATTGCATGTGGGTTTGAGCTTTCTGTTTGGTAATTTACCCTTGGATTTTTTCATCCCAAGGAGAGCTGAGTCACTCAAAGTACAAGGTCCTTGACAGATTTGCATTTATAGTGCTGCAGATGCAATGAGAAAGAGACAGTTTCCAGATGAGACTCGAGCAAGAAGTAATACATTTACCAAATGCTAAAACTGCATCTGCCATTGCATGATTTGCATGAGTTGCCTGGTTGTCCTTGGACCATTTCTGGTCCTCCCAGGTGATGTGATATGACTCCTCCTTTAACCTTTTTTATGTTACTGGTTCGTATCAGTAGTTTGGTTTGCCTAACAAAATACTGTTTGACTGAAACTGCCAAATGGCCACTCTGGAGAAAGCAATACATTTATTTCAAATATAAAATTGCATTAGTTCAATAAATATTATATAGTTGTTTTAAAGGTTTTGCTTTCCTAGCAAATAAGCACAAGAGCATTATCTATGTTTATCCAATTGGATTCCATGCTAGTAGTATACTTATTTATTATCTAGTACACCATTAATAACATTATTCAGTAATTTTTGAAAAATTAAATTAATCTTTAAAGGGTTTTTAGATACAGATTTGGAAAACAGAAACATTTTTATTACTGGGACTCCATCGTGCCACTGTAAGATGGCTTCTGGAGGAAGCTAGAGGAAGAAATCATACTTCCTACAATTTTCAAAGAATATTTATGCTTGCTTATCTGAAGTTCTTCCAGAAGGCATCAGGACAGAAAATTTCATTTTAGTTCTTGCTTGCAATATTTCTTGTAGATTCAAAGCTTGTGCATAAAAATGCACGTTTGTGTTTTCTTGAGGCCTCACCATAGAGCTTGTGAGCTAAGACAGTTTGGGATGTAAAACATGAGTGTCCTTCTTGATGCTGCTGGGACTTATGTATATGTAGGGAGCACATCCTGGTTTGGGTTTACTTTGAGAGGCTTTACAGTAAAGCAGAGAAAACATACTTAGTTGAGGCAAAAAGTAAAAAGAGCTATAATTTCCATTTTTCTAAGAAAGAGCTGATAGAATTTCAAAGAACAGGAAACCTTGAGTATGCTTGGGTGCAAAGTTCTCTGCATGTTTTGTTCCTTGAAACAGAGATCTGTGTTTTCAAAGAAAAGCAGCCCAAAAATGCTAATGTTTTAATTTTCTGATTTATTGAGCAATATTTTTCTGACATGTCTTTGGAGTCTTTGGGTATCAGATGTAATTTTTGTGTTGAGAGAAATTGATAATCATCAAGGATCTTTACCAACTTTTGAAATTAAGTATTTTGAACCTAATTTTTCTGGCCAGCTGAGGTACTAGCCAACAAGCTCAGGGCTAGTCATGAGCGTTCCACCTCAAAGAAGAGAGAAAGGCTGTAGTTCCTGCACCTGCATTGACATGAACAAGGGATATGAACGAGGACAGAAAGGAATTTGAATTGGGGCCAGAGAAGGTAACAAATGAAATAGGGTTCCTACCATGCAACTGAAGGGATGTATGGAGTGAGAAGGAAACAGGGCACATCAGAATTCTCCAAATTAATTGAAACATTGAAACTGCCAATGAGCAACTCCAATGTCAGATTTCAGTTTAAATTTGCATTGTCTTGTCCACCTCCCTTTCCAATAATATTTTCAAGTTTGCGATCTACAAACTCTTTATTTATTAGAATAGTCTGTTTTTATCCTTAATCTTGTGTCTTACATAAACCTCAAGGAAGTGGAAGGGCACATAATTAACTCCTGCTGGAATAATCTCTGCCGACAGCCTCTGAGACCATTTTGGAAAGCCTCAGAAGTGAGATGTTTCACATCATACTGCAGCAATACCTTTGTGAGGGGGCATTACTGGAGCCAGACACAGCAAGAAGTTTCTCATCCTGCCCTGCTAGTATGAGCCTGCTCCAGCAAGAAACAGCTGATAGAGACAACAATAAAAACTGTTCAAACAATAAAAACTGTTCAAACGTTTTTTGCTGATCCAGACATTATTCAGCCAGTAGATCACCTCCAGGAAAGTGAAGGAAAGATAACAGGAATTTGACAATAGCCAATGACAGGCCTAATTAACACTTCTTATTCGCAACAGGTTCTGCTTCCCATAAAAATTGCACAGGATGAAGATAGTTCTAACCCTTTTTTTGCAGGGGGGAAAAAGGGAAATAAAAAGAAGGGAACATGAGGGCAAGGCTGCTTGGCTACATCAACAGTTCTGTGTGGTCAGTGGAAGTGAGGGAAGCTCCATTTTAGGCCATTGACAACATGCAGGTGGAAGGTGTTAAGATTTGAGTATGGCTGTACCTTGGCAGTAGTGGCAACATTAAACAGCCCAGGTAAGAGTGAGGACAGACTGACTGAAGACAAAGTCAGGCTGAAAAATTGTGACAATCCTGTTGGTGTGTCTGGACACGCCGGAGGACTAAAGATAGCAACTGGTGTTATCATGGAGGGGCTCCTTCTCCATCAGCAGTTTCCATATTCCTCCATCATTGGTAGTACCTGTTGTACTACCAATGAATTGAGGAATATGGAAACTGCCAGCTTTGTCCTGGTCTCTCCTGGTGTTACCTCTCTCCTGGTCACTCCAGGTGAGTGGGCAGCCACCAATGTCTCACCTCAGGCTGCCAACTGTTCCTGCTGTTAAGGCTAACCATGTGCTCAACTTGGTAGCTTTGCTTGAGGAGCATTATTGGAGACCAAGAATTAAAGAACCTGCAATTACTTTCTTTTCATGTAATCTGAAGTCATCAAGCTCCCTCACTTGGGTTGCTCTTCTATGCAAAACTGTTTAAACTTAAAGGAGCTCTTGAATGCCTGACAAAGGTACAGTGCAGTTATACAAGCTCAATTTTCCCCCTGCTACACGAGTTTAATGACAAGAGCCAAAGTCACTGAGACTTCACACACCAAAAGGAGTCCTAGGTGCTAGACCCACTCAAACCCCGAGGTGCTCGAACCTGCTCCCAGCGCCGGGCAGCCGGCGGGTTCCGCGCTGGCCGTGCCCGAGAGGCGGCTCTGGAGCGTGGGGACTCTGGAGTCACGGGTGGGGCAGGCGGCAGAAGGAAAATACCGCGTCTCGGTGCCAAGTTTCGCTTCTGGAAGAAGGGAAAACGAAACCGAGTTGTTCCCCGCGGTCCTGCACGGCGGGGCGGGACGGGCGGGGAGGGGAGCATTTAAGTGCGGAGCGCCGGACACCTCTGCAGCTTGCGAGCCGAGCCGAGCCGAGCCGAGCCGGGTCGGATTGAGCTGAACCGAGACCAGCCGAACTGACTCCAGCCGAATCAAGTCCGGTGGAACTGTTCCCAGGCGGGTCCAAAAGCGCATCGCATCCCGCCGGGTCCGAGCCGAGCCGAGCCGAGCCGAGCCGAGCCGAGCCGAGCCGAGCCGAGCCGAGCCATGCAACTGGCCCTGCTGGCCCGGCTGCTGTCCGTCGGGCGGGCGGTGCTGGCGGCGCTGCGAGGGCGCCTGGGCGCGCTGTGCTGGAGCCTGGCTCCCTTTTCCCTGTCCCTGTCCCTGTCCCTGCCCGGCTGGCGGGACTCGCCCCCCCGGCCGCAGCGGGAGCAGGAAGGGGACGAGGCTCCCCCGACGCCCACCAGTGTCAATTACCACTTCACCCGGCAGTGCAACTACAAGTGCGGCTTCTGCTTCCACACGGCCAAAACCTCCTTCGTGCTGCCCCTGGAGGAGGCCAAGCGGGGGCTGGCGATGCTCAAGGAAGGAGGTGAGTCCCGGGGAGGTGGATCCGGAAGGAACCGGGGAAGGGGGACCCCACTGGACCAAGTGCCGTGGAAAAAGTTATCCCGGGGATGTCCCTTGTCCCGCTGCCGTGGGACACTGATAACATTGAACAGGAGCAGGCGACGGGCAGCAGAGGTTCATAGCATCTTTCTTTGGTCCTTCTCTAGGAATGGAGAAAATCAATTTCTCGGGAGGAGAACCGTTTCTTCAGGACAGAGGCGAATTCGTAGGCAAACTGGTCCAGTTTTGCAAGCAGGAGTTGGAGCTCCCAAGTGTCAGCATTGTTAGCAATGGCAGCCTGATCAGAAAGCAGTGGTTCGAGAAGTATGGTAAGGAGGGAGCACTGGGCACAACTAAACTGGCAGGGCTGGGGAGCCTCCAAGGGGCAGCCTCACCCATGGATGGGCTTGGGGCAGGTGGGAGATGGTTTCTTAGTGCTTCATTTATAGTAAATGCAACCCAGATGTAAATACCAGTGAAACAGTGTTGATTATCTCTTGTAAAGATAGGCATTACATCACAAAACCTTTTTGGTATAATGGTGTAATAAAACAATTATTACACCATTATACCAAGTGTTTCCATATGTTCCACCTGTTTCCATAAATGCTAGGGACAGACACAGACAAACTGTATGTTTTTTATGCTGCTGTTGATGTGGCTTTTGTGGTTGATGGGATGAATTTACAGAACTGCATTTACAAGGCATTTGGTGACAGATGACAGGGAAGTGAAAGTAAGCAGAGTCCTGACAGCTTTTAACTGATTGACTGGATATTAATCAATTTTTTAAAACTTGTTTTCAGGTGAATATTTAGATATTCTGGCAATTTCATGTGATAGTTTTGATGAGGATGTCAACGTTTTAATTGGCCGTCGTCAAGGAAAGAAGAACCATGTGGAAAATCTGCATAAACTGAGGCAGTGGTGCCGAGAGTATGCTGTTGCTTTTAAAATAAATTCAGTCATCAACAGATTTAATGTTGAGGAAGATATGAATGAGCAGATCAAGGCACTCAACCCTGTGCGCTGGAAGGTAAGAAAGTAATATATACCACATGTTTCCTTTTCAAAGAAAAGCAATAATGAAGTCCTGGAGTTGTCTGATCCTCTATTGACCTGAGTCTTACCTTCAGCTCCAGCTTGGGCTGGTGTTAGGAGCATTCCTGTCAATTTTGCATGGTGCTGAGATAGGTTGTATCTCATTCTGCACTTAAATGGAGCCCAGTAGGTCAAGAATATTTTTTTGGTTGTGTTATGTACAGAAAATTACTATTTCAGTGTGTGTAGATCCAGGATGTTTTAGTATATTAAAATTAACACAGAAAGCCTTTAACATGTGAATATATGTTATGGTGTAGAGAAAATTAGGAAAGATTACTAAACAATGATACATTAAAATCAATAGATTGTTAACAAGATATAAGTGTATATTAATTTACTTTTACAGAGTATTAGAGGTTAGTGTACATGTATTATTATTTTCTTACTAGAAATAAGTTTGAAAATGGATAGATATAATGTGACATAAATATGGGAGAATTTGTGGAATAATTTCTCATTATTTGTCTCATGGATATTGCTATAGACACAGAATGACTCAGAAAAAAAAAACAACAAAAAAACAAAACCAAAAAACACTGTAAGTGAAATCTCAGATAGTAAGGAAAATCATAATTTATAACATTTACAACTCTGTAATGTTAATTTAGAAAAAATAGACTGCACCATGCCCTTTGTGGAGTATTCACAAGTTGTGTCATGTTGGCTCCACTGACAGAAAAATTAGAGATATTTTTACTGAGACCGAAGTCTCTTATCCTCAAGGCAAGTGAAAACATAAAGTCTTAACCAGGTGATTTCTTTGTCCAGGTGTTTCAGTGCCTGCTTATTGAAGGGGAGAACAGTGGTGAGGATGCTCTAAGAGAAGCAGAAAAATTTGTTATCAGTGATGAAGACTTCGATCGGTTCTTGGATCGCCACAAAGATGTTTCCTGCTTGGTACCTGAATCTAATCAGAAGGTAAAAATGAAACTGTCCCTTTGTAACTTTATTTTTAAATAATGCTAGAATATTTGAAAGGAACAAGAAACTTTCATGGCAATTAATGCTTTCCCTATTAGTAGTGGCTTAGAAGAGGTTCAGTACAACTTTATCAGTGACTGCTTTAGTTATGGTGGAAGCCAAGATTTTTAATTTTCTTTAAGGCTTTTCATTGACAACAAAGTTATTAGCAGAAGAGGAAAAACTCATTGTTCGCAGTCCTGTGGACACAAATAGGAGTACTCTTTCTGACTTGGGCACAAGATCCTGAAAATTTCAGAGTTAATGTAAACACACTTTCTAGTTTAAGTGTAGTTTCCTAATGGAGATTGACTGTGATGTCACATTATGCCAGTGTCATCAACCTACAAGAATAAGACAGCAACCCAACCAGCATTATATTGGGTACTGTTCCACAGTACCCAACTAATTGTACTTTTGGGTAATCCCTCTCACAATAAAGTTGCATTTTTAACATTTTCTGTCTGAACTCTCTTGGATTGCACACTCAGGCTCTTTATTCAGGAGAAGACTCCTTGTGCTTCTGCAGAGCCTACCAGTTAACTTGATCAGCTGCCATCCAGCTTACATAACCACACTGAAGGAGTTTGGTGCCTAAGATGGAGCTCAAGCTATTTTGTAAATGCCTACAGACCCTAAAGATGGGACGAGGGGAGTTAGAAGACTCACTGTTAGGAAAGTTTATGAATTAAGTGAAGAAATAGCAATTTGAACCAATTTCAGGAATGTGTTAAATCTCCCATCTTGTGTTCCTTTTCCTCTCCAAAGATAAGGACTCCATTTACAGTTTACTTCTTAATATATGTAGAGGTCAAGTGAGCAGACTGGGTTGCCTTTGCTATGTAAGATCTAAAAGTGAAGCTATGCATTTAAAGCATTTGGTGAGAGGGAGCACTCATCAGAGAAGGGGTTAAGGTGAGAACACAGAACTGTTTCTACTTTTTCTTTTTTCTTTTTCTTTTTCTTTTTCTTTTTCTTTTTCTTTTTCTTTTTCTTTTTCTTTTTTCATAGTAGAAACCCTACAAAAAAGGCTGCCCATGGTAGATTTGGTTCCAGAAGACTGTTTTTGATTTCTGGTAAACCTGTGTGAAAGATGAACACCAAATTAATCAGATTTCCTGTTCTATACAGCAGCAAGCTCCAGCTACCCAGAGAATTTTAAGGAGGATTTAGGAGATGTCCATTTAGCTAAGCAAGCCTGTCTTATTTCAGCTGTTGGCATATGTCTTTGTGGAGACCTGAGAGCTTTTTCACCTTTGAGCCAGCAGAACACCTTTGTTTGGTGGGGTTATAATTAGACATTCCAGTTAAAATGGTCATGTCATTTGTTTGGAAAATGGCATAATCATTCCAGCATGCAAAACTCTTAAGTTCTTCTGGTGTAGAAGTTAATAGAAAACTTGGATATTATTGAGAACACCTTTGTGCAGTTGGGCACCCACATTTCACTTAGACACTGGAGAGGCAATATTCCAGGAATAACTGGTTTATTCATACATAAAGTTTTTCTAGTAATTCTGTCATTTATGTCTATAAATTTCATCCAAGCTCACTGAAATAGTGGTGATACAGCAACTGTTTCAAAGATTTGTATCAGACCTTCAATGAATTGTTGTTTTGTTTTGTCCTTCATTTTCAGTGGAATGGAATTTTGACTTGTACATTAATTTAGTTTTTTCTTTTGATCTATTACAGATGAGGGATTCATACCTCATTCTGGATGAATATGTAAGTCTTTTTTTGATACATGGTATTTGTATGCTAATATATGTATGCATACAACAGTGATAGCCAGTTAATTTACTCTGCATTCTATAAAACAATTTTACCATGTAGTACAACAGATGTGATTTATGCCCATCAGATATGTTGTGAAGTACAATATAGTATGATCTAAGGAGGTGTTGCTATCAGCCTGCACACATAATCCTTGCATCACAAATCTTAAGGTGTAGATGTCTACTTTTGCAGGACATCTTTGCTTTTTTTCTTTAATACAAAAATGCAGAACTCAAAAGTTAAGTTTCAGAGTGCCCACTTAGTTTACATGTAACTGAAGTGACAACATTTAATCTTCAAGAATTATGATATTGCTTTGTTGCTGCTAAGATATGTCACATGTCTAACCATGAGTTTCTGAGCCTTCTAAGGACTGGAGTTAACCTCTTTATGCACTTACATAGGTTTTGGTGCTATTGCAGTGCAACTTGCTTAAATCTGTAGAAAAATTAAGCTTTTGCAAATTGACTTTCTAACATCTTATGATCTTATCCATCTTACGTTCCAGATGCGTTTTTTAAACTGTAGAAATGGACGGAAAGAACCTTCCAAGTCTATCCTGGATGTTGGTGTAGAAGCAGCTATAAAATTCAGTGGATTTGATGAGAAGATGTTCCTAAAAAGAGGAGGAAAGTATGTGTGGAGTAAAGCCGATATGAAACTGGACTGGTGACTCAATATACCGTGTTAGGGCAGTGCATTCTGTAAAAATAGGTATATCTTTATAGGTGAGTGTATACTTGTATCTAATGCTTTTAATTACACTTGGTATTTTACACAGACTGATGTTCAGTATAACTCTACATGTGAATATGTTACATGCTCTTTAAATGCAGATTACATTGTCTATTACTTTCTTGAGCGTGACCAAATACTTTCAGAGCTTTCACATGAACAGTTCTCTGAAATAAACTTTCTAGTCCATTGCACGAAGGACTAAAAGGCAAACTATTTTTATGAAATACTACATGAGTGTGCATGCCAGATAACAAGCAAAAAACCACTCCAAACTCGAATTCATTCTAAACAGCTGTAATGATGGAGAAGTCAAAATTCTTATCAGGGAACACATTCTGCCTGTTTCTCAGGGCAAAATAGATTGCAGTTCCCGGGTAGATCACTGGAGGGCCAGCTGGCAGACCTCTGGAAGCACCTTCTGCTTTTTTCAGGGGTAATAGAGGGTCAGAATCCAGGAATCTTGAAGTAATAATGTATCTAAAATGAAATCAAGGTGAAAAAACGGGCAGTTTTTATTCTTTAAAACTTAATTGTAACAGCGTCTTTTCCCTCTCCTCTGTATACACACATGATATTTGCAAGAATGTTGAGCCATGTAATTTTCTGTGAAAACATATTTTTAGTCATGAAAAAATATTATATTCATCCATCCTAAAACCTAGAGGTACATTTTACCTGATGATAATCAACATGATATTTCACATTGGAAATGCCCTTCAAATATTTGTTCTAACAAATATTTGCAGGGAAACATTGTTTTCATTTTATTAGTATCTCAATTTTCCTTTTATCTGCAAATATTGATTTATTATTTTAAACTATTTTTGAACTGTGGGCATATAGTTCTGATGAATATTCCTTCTTAAACTAATTAATACCATGCAGAACAACCCAACATATATCTTCTGTTGCATACTAGCTTTTTATCTTGCTAAGCCATGGAACTACAAACAGCAATGTTCATATATCAAGCAACCTTATTTTAAAAGTTGTTTGTCTCAGTAACTAATTAGCTTGCTGGTTATAAAACTGCAGACTTTAAATGAAACTAATTTGGTTTTGTGAGAGCTACCTTTGATTTTAAGAGCACATAGCATCAATATAAAATACAAAAAAAAAATCCCCAAAACCTGAAAAATAATCTAATATACTGCCCTCATTCTTGGTTTTCTGGCAAGTGTTATGGCTTTATAATTGCATGTTTTCAAATTTTACTAGTCCCATCCTCCCTCTGTCTGAAGGGCACAGGGATAGGCACTGCACAGAGCAAAAGTGAGATGACACTACTCATTCATCCTGTGCTAAACTCAATGTCTGGACTGTCTCACACATTTAAATATTTGCAGCAGTTGGGAGCCAGCATGCATTAAATATACCACATAGAGAAAATGACACCTTACTCAATTTTTTTGGAAATGCTAGTTGATTTTTTAAAGAAGTTTTTGAAAGAAATGTTTTGCATTCACTTAATGCATCTTCAAATTTGAAGGGGGAAAATGCTTAAGTAGGAGCTATTACTTCTGTGTAAAGGAAAGTGCTCCTATGAATACTCTGTGAAAATGGTTCCATTTTGTAATTCCTTCAGTTTTTATTTTTAATATCCTAACTGTAAATATACTCAGTGGTGCTCTTTTGTCCCTTTGTATTTTGCATTTTGCAATCACAACACTTCCTAGACACTGATATTTCAGTATTTTTTTCCTTGTATTAACACTAAGTGACATTTAAAATGTGGCCCACACACAGTAACCCCACAGTCTTTTGGCAGCTATTTCACTGACCTTGGCTGGAGTTCTCCCTGGCTCTATGGGCAGTGCAAATTTATGCAACTGGGGTTTGACTTCCCCTGCTCAAATATAAAATGTAGTATCTTCCTCAGTACCTACACCATGTTGATAGAAAAAAAAGCATTTTCCTTTGTTGTTGTCTCAGTCCCAGGATGGGGAAAGATTTAGTGCATCAATGCACCAAAATATCTACCACCCTGCAGCTTCTGCAGAAAATGCCAGCTGTAGCACAGCACACAGATATGAGGTACACAAACTCCTGTTCAGACCCAGAAATCCTGCCATTCTTTTCTTTGCATTTTGCCCTACAAATGGCTATTCTTTTGCTTCCTCTGTGCCTACAGAGGAAACTGCAGGAGAAACAAGAAGGAGCTGAAAATGTCAAAATCCAGTAAATAATGCACAGACATTTTAGATGGCTTTTGTTAGAAGGTTCTATGTGCTACCTTCTTAAAATGTTAGGGATTTCACATCACCTCCTATTACCATACATAATTAGTAAAAGGTTTCTGCTCTGTGGGATACTCCTTTTCAAAGGAAATTGAGTTTGTACATTGGAAATGAGGAATCTCACATTACAGTTTGAGAGTAATTTAAGTTAATGAACAACTATTGGTATTTCTATATGCAAAATTTATTGTCATGTAAAACAACAAAAATTTGGCTAGAGTTGATGAATCTAGTTTATTAAAAAAAATTATAAACACAGTCGATATTGGACCAAAAGTGGACTTTGGGCTTTCATTCCATAGTAGGTGCTACCTTTCAGTATAGGACTAGAAAAATTAAATAGAATTCAATGGGGTTACTCCCAGGCTCAGTGATTACAGGTGTGTTGTGATCCTGAAAAGTCAGGATTAAATTCAAGTCTTATAAGCGCAGATATGCTTAATTGTATCTTTGTGTATAATATCATAGTATTGCAGCTAAGCAGTTGCTACAGATACTGAATTGGGAAGGAACTAACACTGCATTCTACTATCATTATACAATTGTTTCTATTTGTAAAAAAACCGTAGAGAACGAGTGTTTGGGAGGATGACTTCTGATGAAATTGTGATTGTACCTTGGGTAAAATTTTCATTTAAGATGCACTTTAGGATGTCCTCTTTTTCAGTGTGAAGGATCCTGATATATTTGAATGTTACAAATGAACAGTTTTGGACTAATAGTGTTACATAATTAGTGCTATGTATTTCATGAATGTGTTGCACCTTTCAATAAATGTTTCTATTTTCCTAAGTTTGTCTGTATTTTTTTTTCTGTAATACAAGCCATACCAGCAGAATGTGTGTCTGCATTCACAAGAGATCTGTAATTCTGGATGCACTGAGTCTGCATTTAGCAGGGGGGCTGTTGCACGGTGCCAAGGGCAGCATCGAGGCCGACATGGAGAACAATGGTGGTGATTCTCCTCGTGATGAAAGGCACTTGTTACAAGCCTGAGTGGACTGCTCTGTGCCGGGAGAAGACAGTTCAAATACCTTGTGCTGTTCAGATGACAGCCGACACGAAAAGCACAGCTATCCATAAATATCCGAGAACAAAAATAAGATTATCTTCTGTTATGGTAAATAAGAGAGAAAAGACAGTCTATTTAGAAGACTGAAGACAAGCAGCTTCTCAAACTCATCTTCCATCTTCAGGCTCGGTGTAAACTCTTGTACTAGACAACCTCAAATCGAGCTTTTCACAGTATTTGGCCGTGAGTGAGAGGATGCTTAGCGTTTTACCCACCCCCCCGCCATTCCCCCGCACACTGCGGTGGTGCGGGGCCCAGCACCGTGCCGCAGCGAGATGCTGCGGGCCCCGTGCCGGGGCTGCTGCGCTGTGCGTGTCACGGCGGGGCGGCTGCTGGGCTGTGCCCGGTGAGTCCGCCAGACCGCTCCCGTTCTCCCGTTCTCCCGTTCGCCTCCCCGCTCCTGCCCGCCGCAGGAGCACCGGCCCCCGAATGGTGACACTCCGCACAGCCACCAACAGAGACAGCTCCCGCAGAACAGTCATGGTTCCCGTGCCTTCCCCTCCTTCCTTCCCTGGCAGGCAGGACAAGCCCCCCGCCTCCTCGGCACAACCAGCCCCGTTGTTCTCCCTGCCGCTGACGGACTTGCTGGGCCCATCACGCCCAGGCAACCCGAAGTGCTATTGCTTCAAGCAGACGAAAAGCCTCACGGTAGAACCGGCGGCTCGGCTCGGCTCGGCACGCCCGGGCCGGCGGCGCTGCCAAGCGGGAAATCCCGGGATCCCCGCGCCCTCCCGCCGCCGCCAGGGGGCGCCGCTGAGCCTGGCGCGGCGCGGCCGCTTCAAAGTGGGCGGCGGCGCGAGCGCGGCCGTTAATGGCGCCCGCCCGCGGGCGGCAGGGCGCTGTGCCGGGAGCGGCGCCGGGCTGCGCGGCGGGAAGCGCGGCCGCCGGCGGAGCGCCGCGTCGGGGGCGTAATGACAGCGGCAGCTCGCCCCGAGTGTGCTCTGTCTTGGGGCTTCTATAAACGAGCGAAGACGTCTCGAAAGAGCCCAGCGCTCTGGAGTGCGGTAGCCATTCTTCGGGGAGGGGGAAATAATGAGTGCAGGGGTCTGTGGAGTGCCACCCCCAGCCAGGCTCGCAGTGCGAGCGGAGCGGGCAGCCTGGGAGAAACCGGATCGTTTGGGTTGAAGGGCTGGAAGGAGTAGGAGCAAGGCTCGGGTTTTCCTTCCCGGAGCTGAAGTGATGTTGCCGTTGACTTTGTTTGAGCTGTTGGAAGAACCCATAGGTGCGTTAATGAGGTTGTCTTGCCACCCGCTGGATCAAGGGTTCCTAAACAGGTCAGGCTCTACATCATGTGTTTATTGCTTCTATAGTACTGGAACAGGGAGTGTCGGCAGGGCAGGCTGATAGAAGAAGATACCAGCTCTTTGAATTTTTTGCTGTGTTCTTGGAAATACTGTCACTTCTGCCCTGGAACATAATATTCCTGTTCTATAACAAGCATAAATGATGATTTATAAATAGATCCGTTTGTTTATATTGTTCCCCGTGTAGCCAAACAACTGTTTACATTGGGAAATGGATTGCTTCATTTCACATTAGCTTATCAGTGCTGGCCCAGGAGTGGCTAAGCTGAAGTTACATGTTCTTGGGCAGAGTGCTACTGGAGAGATTACATCAGTAGGTTAAACTTCTGGTGGCTGGCTTGTCTGCTTGTATGTGCTTCTCTCACAGGCATCAGAGGCTAGTGATTGAGGGGTTAAAAGAGTGTGTGGGGTTGTACTACAGTGCAGGGGAGATTTGTGCCTTTTAATGAAAATGGTTAGTTTATTCTTTAATGGGACTTTATAATGTGGGATAACTTAGATTATGTTTTCCTGGCAGTGAGGTATCAAGGTGTCCTGACATGATGCTTGTTAAATACCCAAGAGAAGCGAGATCAAATGAGAAGAGTAGTGATAGGAGGGAAAATAGTTCCTTTTGTTTAGGAGTGTCTTGAAAAAGACAGGATTTTCCCCATGACCATCTTTGCCCCCTGGGATGAAGTTTTATTTTTTTACTCCCCCCTTTCCCTGACCATTATGTCTCATTATCATTGTCCTCTTGTGCTCTCTGTGTATTACAAGGGGGAAAATAATTTGTGATTGAAATAATAGTACAATGATAGGTGTTTCAGTTTGATATAACTACTTTGAATAAGCCATCCTTTATGTAAAACAGGGTTGATTTCCCCTCATATCTAATTCACCATGATTCATATACTAGGAACTGCTAGATCAAATAATGTGTTGTCTGCAGTTATTGTAGATTTTTGCCCTTGAAGCACAGTTTTTAGAGTTAACACTTTTACACTATTAGAAGTAACACTTACAGACTGGCGAGTTTTTTTGCCTGATTCAGTGTTTCAAGGCAATAATTTGTAGGGGAAAAAAGACTACATAGTTGCAGAAGTTCTTTAATTTTAAGTGTGGGTTGTTTTTTTTTTTTTTTTTTCCCCCCCAATACCATATTCCAAGTACTTGTCAGATTTCACGTGGGGTTTTTTTATAACTTCTGACAACTTTTCTTTCAGTTAAGCCAAAGGACAAAGCTGCTGTCTTAAACATGAGTTTTGGCTGCAGTGTCATACAGTGGGTATGAATGGCTTCAGTGTATCTGCTGTATTTACAAGAATGCGCTCACAGCCTGGCAGAAAACTTGCATTTGCCCTCCCAGTGCTGATTCAGGACAAATAATGGCTCTGATCATCCTGCAGCCTGGTCGGCGAGCACAGACCTTTTCTCTCTCTTAGAGACCTGATGCAGCAGGGGAACTGGAACCTGTTATACTTATCACCATGTTTCCTGTGGATTAGTATCCATAGTTATGCAATTGAGTTAGTAGTCTGTGGATTAATTAGAAGACTTACTTTTCATTGTGTTCCTTTTTACATCTTGAGTTGCAAAAAGGAAATGGAAGACAATTACAAACTAACCCACCACTTCTTTTGAGTGGCATAGTGATTCTGCTGTGTCCAACCTAGGCTGTGGTCAGCTGTTCTTTTTATAAGGCACAATCCTTTTCTGTATCGCTTTGCGGAAACAAGCTCATAAAATTCATTTTGAAGGAGATCAGACAAAAAGATCATAATGATAATGTCTGTTTTTCACTTCTGATGGCTGGGAGGAAGGAGCAGTTGAAAATAGACTTGCACTTCTGTCTGCTTGCTGCAAAGTGATATGTTTTTTGTATTTCCTAATCAAGTGGAATCAGAAATGCTTACAGTTTTTCTGCATATGCAGTCAGCAAATGCTGGAGCCAGCAAAGATAGTCTAAAATGGATTTTCAAATAGCTTGGTTGTTTGCTGATGATGCCGCTTATGGTAATGGTAATACCATTAAGTGTCTTTTCTAAAAGGCTGAAGACAAAGAGGAACAGAGAAAGTGAATCACTGGTAAAAGTGGTAACTTTTTATTTACTGTGAAGACAGAATATCTTGCCAGATTGTTCTAGTCTTGGCACGACTGTTATTTCCTTATTATAGCCATATTTTCACCTTTTCATTCATAGAATATCAAGTGAGTGGTAGCTTGTTGCATTGAAACACCTTGCTGTTAACCTTCAGGTATCACTATGACAGTTGAATTCCACTTCATCCTCTTTATATTGATTGGAAATGACTTGTGATTGAAAAAATACACTAAAGCTTATTAAATACAAACATTTTC